GGTTCGTCTAAGCCTTCCTACCAATATGACCAAGTTGCGTAAACAAGGTCAAACAACTTCTAAATATGTTTTAACTGCATAGGAGATGTAAACATTCTATTTCATTACAGGCGAGGAAGGGCTTGTAGTTGAATTTTCCCACAATCATATGAATAAGTCTTAGGCTTCCATTGAATTTCCAAAAGACTTACCTCATAAAATGTATTCCTATCCAGACAGGAGTGGACAACACTTTCAACCTCGCCTATGCCTTATTAGCGAAGACAGGCTCGTAGACCGCATCAACCTGAACTTGGTATTTAAGCCAAACGACTATTCTACGAAACCCGCATTTCTTTAATTTACCTAAAAGTATACTCTCATCCAATAGTGGTTTCGACTACCGGCACATTCATAAAACTATTCAATTGGCTAATGAGATGTGTTCACCCTATTTCACTCAAGTTGATGTAGGACTGGTAGTTTGATTTTCCTACAATGTTATGAGTAAGCATGGCGCTTCCATCGAATTTCACTTAACCTTGCAACCCCAAAAGATATTCTCATCCAGATTGGAATGGACTACAATTTCGATCTCGCCTAATTCTCGCGGATCCGTTGTCATTTACAGTCAGATTGTGTAGTTTCCTACTCTACTACCGTTGTCGTGCTTTCTTCCGGCATGTCAAAGCAACATAAATACTCTCATAGATGAGGCAGCCAGTATCAATTTCATAACGCTCGTACTGTCGGTAGGGCCCAGTTGCTAGACTAACTTAATGTAGCAATGGGAATCTGCATTGGTATCGAGTGCTGCCGATTCCGATGCCACCATAAATGCAAGTGGGGCCAAACAATCTCGGTTCCATAATTGTTGAGATTACTTCCATTTCGAGTAAAGCTGTTGGGTGAAGAAATTCGAGTTTTCTTGACTCGTTAGCTCGAATTTTGTTGTGACGATGTTACCTCGCTCTGATGATGACGGACGAAAGCTTAGCACCTTTTCACAGGAATCGAAGGAGATTACACCTCGGAAACAGCGTCAGCATGAATGTTCCAGTAAAGCCAATCGACAGCTGGTCAAGAGGAATCCGCTGT